TCATCTAGAGATTTGCCTAGTTTTACAACCGGCTACATAAAAAGCACTAGCAAAGTCAGTACAAACTAAAATTTCATACAGACAACGACTTGTTTATACTGCTCTGTATATGATATACTGAAATGTAAGTACAAAATTTTATTCCAGTTGATTTATTTTATAATCCTATGGTAAAATGAGAAGGTAAGCAATTTTTCAGGACTATTATGTGCTGAGAGACATTTCTGTATTTTTAGGTCTGATTTTCTAAGCATGTAATTTTTAAGCGAAGTGAAACTTGTGGTACACGAGACACATCAGACTCCTGAAAGGGGTACAGTCATCTGGAAAGGTTGGGAGCCACTGGGCGAGGTGACAGGACCGCAGAAAAGGATTGGGGGAGGGGTTATAGCAGATCACAAATTGAATTTGAGTCAACCACGTGGCGCAGTTACGCAAAAAGCTAAGATCCTTCTGGGCTGCATTAACAGGAGTGTTCCATGCAAGACCCAGGAGGCAATTGACCTATTCTACTTGGTGCTGGTGAGCTTCAGCTGGAGTAGTGTGTCCAGTTCGGGTGCCACACTTTAAGAAAAACGTGGACCAATTGGAGAGAGTCCAGAGCAGAGCAACAAAAAGTTTAAAAAATCTGACCTATGAGGGAAGGTTAAAAAGACTGGACATGTTTAGTCTTGAGAAATGAAGGCTCAGGGGGGACCAGATAAGTGGGTTTTTTTGTTTGTTTGTTTTCCAAATATGTCAAAAGGCTGCTACAATTGGACAGGGATCAGTTGTAGGACAAGAAGTAATGGGCTTGATCTGCAGCAAGGAGATTTAGCTTCGATATTAGGACAAACTTTCTCCCTATAAGGATGTTAAGCTCTGGAACAGGCTTCCAAGGGAGGTTATGGAGCCCCCATCACTGGAGGTTTTTAAGAACAGGTTAGAAAAATACTTGTTTGGAAATACAGGAATGGTCTAAGCTAGGTGTACTTGGTCCTGCCTTAGCTCAGGCACTGGACTGGCTGACCTCTGGAGGTCCCTTCCATCCTACATTTCTGTGATTGTGTCTTGTAATGTGCGAATAGAATAATATCCAAACTGGCTGTATATATACTTAGTGCATTAAAAGGGCCAGTTTCGCAAAACTGAAAACAATTGAGCCAGATCAGTTGTTGGAAAGAATTTAAACAGAAAAATGTGAATGATAACTGGGCACTGTAGAAGAACATTTTAATGGATGCCTAAAAAGCCACAATTGAGAGAGAAGGCCTCTCTGGTTAAACAACCAATCTGGTTTAGTGGGGAAGTGAAAGCAACTACAAACAGAACATATCAAAATGGAAGAAAGGGGAAGTTGATAGTGATGATGAATATAAATCCGAAACTAGTGATTGTAGAAAATTGATAAGGGAAACCAGGAGAAATGCATGGCCAGCAGAGTTAAGGAAAATCAGTTTTCTTAAAAAGTATATTAGGAACAAAAGGAATAAACACAATAACAACCAGGAGTCCGGTGGCACCTTAAAGACTAACTGATTTATTTGGGCATAAGCTTTCATGGGTAAAAATCTCACTTCTTCAGATGCATAGAGTGAAAGTTACAGATGCAGGCATTATATACTGACCCATGGAGAGCAGGGAGTTACTTCGCAAGTGGAGAACCAGTGTTGACAGGGCCAATTCAGTCAGGGTGGATGTAGTCCACTCCCAATAATAGATGAGGAGGTGTCAATTCCAGGAGAGGAAAAGCTGCTTCTGTAATGAGCCAGCCACTCCCAGTCCCTAGTCAAGCCCAGATTAATGGTGTTAAATTTGCAAATAAATTTTAGTTCTGCTGTTTCTCTTTGAAGTCTGTTTCTGAAGGGTTTTTTTGTTCAATGATAGTGACTTTTAAATCTGTAATAGAATGACCAGGGAGATTGAAGTGTTCACTTACTGGCTTTTGTATGTTACCATTCCTGATGTCAGATTTGTGTCAATTTATTCTTTTGCGGAGGGACTGTCCGGTTTGGCCAATGTACATGGCAGAGGGGCATTGCTGGCACATGATGGCATATATAACATTAGTAGATGTGCAGGTGAATGAGTCCTTGGTGGTGTGGCTGATGCGGTTGGGTCCTCTGATGGTGTGGCCAGAGTAGATATGGGGACAGAGTAGGCAGCGAGGTTTGCTACAGAGATTGGTTCCTGGGTTGGTGTTTCTGTGGTGTGGTGTGTAGTTACTGGTGAGTATTTGCTTCAGGTTGGGGGGTTGTCTGTAAGCGAGGACTGGCCTGCCTCCCAAGGTCTGTGAGAGTGAGGGATCATTTTCCAGGATAGGTTGTAGATCGTGGATAATGCGCTGGAGAGGTTTTAGCTGGGGGCTGTATGTGATGGCCAGTGGTGTTCTGTTATTGTCCTTGTTGGGGCTGTCCTGTAGTAGGTGATTTCTGGGTACCCGTCTTGCTCTGTCAATCTGTTTCCTCGCTTCCCCGGTGGGTATTGTAGTTTTAAGAATGCTTGATAAAGATCTTGTAGGTGTTTGTCTCTGTGTGAGAAGTTGGAGCAAATTCGGTTGTATCTTAGGGCTTGGCTGTAGACAATGGATCGTGTGATGTGTCTTGGATGGAAGCTGGAGGCATGTAGGTACGTATAGCGGTCAGTAGGTTTCCAGTATAGGGTGGCGTTTATGTGACCATCACTTATTTGCACGGTAGTGTCCAGGAAGTGGATCTCTTGTGTGGACTTAAAAATTATATCGACCTAGCTATATGTCACTCAGGGCTGTGAAAGATTTTGCTCCCTGAGCACCATAGTTAGGTCGACCTAACCCCTGGTGTAGATATGGCTAGGTCCATCGAAGTGTGGGGCGCTTGGAAGGGAAAAGGATTCAGTTCTCGGGTGTAGGCATTACTGTAGCGTAGTCCTGTAAGCGAACATAAACAGTGCGGTAAAACAGAACCATGCCAAGCAATAGGCATTCTGCTGCTGATAATGTAGAGCTACAACGCACAGTATTCTGGGCACAGAGCTGGAATGCTTTCTGGGACGTGTGGCTCCTCGGATGGGATGGCTGGGTGAACAGTCTGCCGAGGGCATAGTTAGCAGCAATGGCTCATGCAGTGTGCAAAATGAGAATGGGGTTTGGGGGGAAATGGGGAAAGAGTTGGCCTTCTACCTTGTGCCAATTTTAGCACACTGGATTTATTATAGGGATGTAGGGAGAAGAGGCAGTTCTATTGTTACTGCATGCTGGCAAAGAACGATCTCGCTGTGTTAAAGGAGAGAGTTCATTTTGAGCTCCTACACCAAGCTAACTATGTAGACAAAGTTGTAGGTCTGATTTCCATGACTCACTCTGGAATGATCATAACCTAGCCTAGGTTTCCTATACTTTGAGGCTTGACGGGACCATTAGATCATCTAGTTTGACCTCTTGTACATCACAGGCCATTTATATTTCACCCAGTTTCCTCCATACTGAGCCCAATCACTTGTTTGGCCAAAACACATCTTCTAGACAGGCGCATCCTGTCTTGATTTAAAGACCTCAAGAAGTGGAAAATCCACCACTTCCCTAGGAGGTTTGTCCCAATGGTCAATCAACCTCGGTAAAAAATTTGGCTTTTGTTCTGCCTTTCTCCACTAGATCACAGAACCCTTTTGGCACCTGGTATTTTCTCCTGGTGGAGGTACTTATTCACTGTAATCAAGTCACCTTTTAATCTTTTTGATAAGCGGAACAGATTGAGCACGATACGGTCATTTTCTTTGGCCCTCAAATAATTTTTGTGGCACCCTTTCCAGTTTTTCAACATCCTTTTTAAAATGTGGGCCCCAGAACTGTACACAGTATTCTGGTATCTGCCTCTCCAGTGCCACAGAGAGAGGTATTATCCCCTCGCTAGTCCTGCTCACTGCTTCTCTGCTTATACATCCAAGCGTCACACTGGCCCTTTGCACCCCAGCATTGCACCTGGAGCGCGTGTTGAGTTGCTTGTCTGCTATGGTTCCAAGACCCTTTTCCTATTGGTTCCTCCCCGGGGTCCAGTCCCCCATTCTGTAGCTGTGGCTTATGTTCCTTGTTCCTAGATGTGTCACTTTGCACTTGGCTCAGCTGTATTAGAACGCGTGTTGTCGGAGAGGGCCGAGCTTACTGGGACGTCCGGATCGCTCTGTAAGACTGCCCTGGCCGCCTCATTGTTTACCAAGCTGGCAGCTTTTGTCATTGGAGTGTGAGCTGCATTCCAGTCTCGTTTGCAGATCTAAGAGCTAATATTACTAAAATATTTTCATATCATTTCTGTTCCCTCTCTTCCTCCCCTAACCCCGTGACATGGCTTCATTTAGCTAGCAACAGCTCAGGTGCAGTTCTTAGTCATTTGTGAAAGTTAAGGAAATGTGTTGCAAGGCCCAGCTGGGATCCTGAAGCTGTAGTCTGGAAAGTCCCAGGTGACTGCGGCTTCAGGCGGTACAGTGAATGGTGGTGATGGTGGATGGCCAGCATTGCCTTTAGCAGCTGAACTATAATTTAGCCCCTTTACAAGAAATTGTCTCACATCTGGCAATGAACGCAGCTTTAAGAACAGGAGTGGAAGTGCAGTAAGCATTGCATGTTTAAACCAAGGTCCATTGGAAAAGCTGATTCTCCATTTAATCCCCAAAGTAGCCTTCTAACTGGAAATACTGACGTATTCCCATGTCAGATGTATGATCTGTTCTTTTACCTTGAGGTGAAATTGGTTGATGTTGTCCTTGAGCCTGGCATCTTTGTGTAACCAGCCTCTGCTAGGTGACTGATGCTTTGACAGCAACATATTCAGAAGGGAGTCCCCAGTTCAACACTTCTGGCGATGTTCTTGCTAAGAACAAGGGAGTTGTAATTGCAGGAATTCTGGGTTCTTCTTTTTGCAAGCTTGATGCTTAAACTTGTGGAAAGTCCATTTTGTTTAAAAAACCCTGCCGATAAATGTTTAGCTAATCTGAGTTCTATTCCATGTCTTTCTCTGCTTGATTGCAATGTTCCAATTTGCCTTTAGGTTCATGCGTGGGAGATCTCAGACCAGTTGCTACAGATCCGACAGGATGTAGAATCATGCTACTTTGCAGCACAGACCATGAAGATGAAGATTCAAACCTCGTTCTATGAACTCCCCACAGATTCGCATGCTTCGTTGCGGGACTCTTTACTGTCCCACATTCAGAACTTGAAAGACCTGTCACCCGTCATTGTAACTCAGGTAAGCCTTGTGTTACTCCTGGTGGGGGGAGGAAAAGGAGCATTTCTCAAGGCAGTCGCATACCACCTTTCCGTAATAAAGGATGAATAATTCGGTGTCTTAATTAGATATGCATTGTGGACATGTTGTAACATTAGCACCACTGCCCCATCAAATCCTCTGTACAATAATTGCTGCCTTCTTTAGGAGAAAGGGCAAGAAACAGATGCTGCAAGTAACGTTTAATCATGACTAAAGTTTTTCACTGCTGGCTTTCAGAAATCCAGCATTCGTGCTCCCTGGCTGTTCCTCGTTTAGCGTGGAGCAGGAAAAACAGAGAAAAGGAAAATCAATGTCCTTTAGACCCAGTCGGAGCAGTTTCTCCATTTATAGGCTCAGCTTAGTTTATTTCTTGTCCCATGGTCAATTCGGCAGTGATTCAGCACGTTAATACATTATTTTACCCCTTTCTGTGCTGCATTGGGAGAGTGATGGGTGGAGCAGCTATGCAAGGATCTTTTCCCTGCTCAGCTCCAAAAACAACATTGAATTACCCATCAAATCGCCCTCAGCGACTGGAAGCTCTCTGACGTGAGGTGCTACCATTTCCCCAGGGCTGTGTTCATCTCAGATATTGAAGAACTAATTATTCCTTTGTGCCGTCAACTTAGCTCTCCTGCGTGACGCTGCAGAGCACTTGTCACCACATCCCTGTGAAGTCCAAATCAGCCTCGCTACCTGTTGGTCCTCGATCAGCCTGCAGGGTCTCATCCTGCACTGGTTGAAGTCAATGGGAATTTTGCATTTGACTTCTGTGCGGGCAAGGTTGGGCCTGAATGAAAATTGTTTATAGCCGAGGAACTGTTCATTGCTTCTGATTCAAATGAAATGCAAATAACCTCGCAGTGCTAGTGAGGAGACTGGCTACGTGTCTAGGGAGCAGTGGGTATGATGCAGCCTCCGCTAGCCAACCTGAGAGAAGGTTTGCAGCCATGGACAAGACACTGCAGTTTGCAAGTGGGTGGGAGAGTTCTGGCCAGTCTGACAGGTGAGTTGCAGGCTTATGACCCCTCAGCCTGAGGAAATGACTGTTACCTGTGACTAAATGATGTGCCCAGCAAAAGTCATGTAGCCCCTTCCTTCCTGAAGGACTGGTGCATTGGGTCATGAGTATTCTATTGCTGCTTACACACCAGAGAAATAGTCCTATGGCTCCTGGATACTGAGTCCTGTGGGATTACCATGAGATCTGAGGGGTCTGGCTTTACTTCACAGAGGGTTTGACTTCTCCCATCTTCTCCTGGTGGTGTTGAACAGAATCTGGACGTTTTTCTCCCTGTCTAGCAGTACAAATTGGCCATTTCATGTTTTTAGCACTGGTCTTAGTCTTGTTCCTTTTTTTTTTTCCCTCCCCCACGTTTTAGCTTGCATTAGCAATAGCAGATCTCGCCCTACAAATGGCTTCTTGGAAGGGCTGTGTACAGACACTGGTGGAAAAGTAAGTATTTGTTTTATATCATTACGCTTTATTGAAATATTAAACATACAAATCACTCCACTCCTACAAGACTTTGCCTACAAGAATGCGAAAAGAAAGGTAATGATCTGAAAGCACAACTGCACTTGCGTGCACTGATACAAAAGAGTTGGAAAAGTGCTAGAAAAGAACCTTTTTGTGACTGAAAATTTAAGTGGCTCCTGATTCTAACTGAATTATCGTAGTGAAGTGTTCTAGGTGAAGTGAGTGGCAAGTCGGTTTATAGACATATCTGTGATTGAAGCTGTGCATGCTTTTTTAGGGCTCCGGTCTAAGCCTTCCTCAGCTCCATTTCTATATTGCTTTACAATCCCTTTCTCACATGCGTAGCTGGCTTATCCTTCTGGTTTAGGGTTGATCAGGAGTCTCCAGCCAGTCAATGCTGCATCTTAACTGGTTGCAGGGGTAGCTGGTTAGTGTCGTGAGACATTCCTTTCACTTCCTGCTAGGGCTGAGTACTGTCACTGAGCAACTGGAGCTCAAAGCAGGAGCCCCGTCCGGCAACACTTGTCACTGCATGAGGCCAGCACATACACATTGCGCTGTCCTGAAATGTTGCAGGTGCCGTGCGAAGCTTCTACTCGACAACGCCCCTGCAATGTGAAATGGAGATCGCATGATGCCATTGTTGGCTCTGTGCGTGCGTGTGTGTGTGTGCGCGTGCATGTGTGTGATAGGACTTGAGTTGTTGTATTTGTAGAACAAGAGATTTTTGTCATCCTCCTTGACAGGCACTTCCGACTACGGTAGGAGAACTAAACCCCAAACCTGGGTCAGTAATGCTCGTTTATTTCGTAGCCTAATGTTTGCTTTTGACGTGCATCCAGATGATGTGTTTTCGGACAACTCTGTCCGGAATCTCTTTCAGCGAGATTCCTCTCCTCTCCTACTGTGGTGTTAAAGGTGCTTAGACACTCCCGGAGTTGGATATTGTGCACGTTGGCAAGCCCCTTTCTTCTCCGTGCCGTTTCACTTCTTTGCCCCTCCGTCTGTTTCAGGTACAGTAACGACGTGACATCACTGCCCTTTCTGCTGGAGATCCTCACGGTGCTGCCAGAGGAGGTTAATAGCCGATCTTTGCGCATTGGCGCCAACCGCCGGACCGAAATCATTGAAGACCTGGCTTATTACTCCAGTACAGTGATCTCCCTTCTAGTAAGTAGATCGCCTGGAATGCAGGCATGTGACACATCAGTCTGCTCGGGTGGCATAGGACACAGTCTGAGACTATTTTAGATCTAGCCCAGATTGGAAGTGATCAGGCAGCGATCAGGCCTCCTAACAGCTGCCAGTGTGAAACTAGTTGCTCTCTTCCATCCCTAGTGGATGAGTCCAACAAAAAACCACAGCTGGCCCCCAACTGTAAGCAGTAGGCCAAGGATTGAGTTTGGTCATGGAGCCTTAACTACCCCTCCAGCTAGTCAGGATTTGAGACACAGAGAGGGGCCGTTTGGGGAGGAAACTGGCACAGAACAAAGAGTGGCAGTGCTTAAAGGCCTTCAGTCTCCTGGGCTGTCAGTCCAGCAGCCCTCACTGGCACTAAATGCATTTAGACATCAGGCCCTACTTGAATCGCGGCTGGGCTGTGGACAAGCTCTGGAAAATCAGGGACAAGTCATCATTATTATTATTTGCTGTAATAAGGCCCGTTGTTGTTTTTCCACGGTCAGCCGCCCGTGGCTGAGAGTGGGGACTCCTGCTGTCGAAATTGTGGTGGAAGCCTAATATTGCGGGGTCTGCAATATCGTGAATTAAGTAGGACCTTCTTTGTAGATCAAAACAGATGAGGGATCCCAGACCATTCGCTTATCTTATTTTAATATACAAGGAGACTGTGGCAGAGAGAACCTTTAACGTAATTCTAGAATGAGAGGTATTGATTTGTCAGAATAAGAACCTGGGGATTTACGGCTACCTAAAGGCCATCTTTTTTATCTTATTTTTACCACGAGTTCTTTCTTGACTTACCCACGCCCTTCGTGCAATGTAGTGTCCCGTAGAGTTCACCCAAAGGATGAGATATGGTGGCAGATGGAAAAATCAGCACCCACAGGTGAATTTCTAGTTGCTTTCCCACTGGTGTGCCGCTGAGGAGAGTTGGGGCTCACCAGGGAGCTAACTGCTTGAGGACATTGGTGCTCAACAAGGCTTGTGACTTGGGTTTGGGGGGTGAAATGAATCAACCCGTCTCCAAAGCAGTTCACAGAGATTGAAAGGAGCTGACTAGAATATATCCAGCCCCACTTCACTCGGTCAGTGTTTTCCCAAGGATGCTTTACTCATTTCCGACTAAATTATTTGAACTAAATACTCAGGAGAGACCAATCTGGACCCCCCTCTTCCCCCTCCAGGCTGTACTGAAGTACAGCCCCCATACACATTAATGCAGAGCTCCTCATTACTTTTTACCATTTCACATTGCTTATTTAAATGGGAAATACAACGTGCCCCCCAGCTGTGCATAATAAGGCTGTTAATATCCTAGAACCCCAGATGGAATTGCATTTTGATGTATTATAATTATAATAGATGGTAACAGAAATGATTTTTTTGCTTTGCAGCCCACGCTTTCTCTGCTTCTCTCCTTTCGCTGCCCTGCGCATCTGTGTGTGCTTTGCTGTCTGTTGCCCAAGCTTTTCCTCCAGCTGCTTTCCTTTTGCTTCAGCTCTGCTGGCCATCATTTTTCTCATTTTCATAGCTGCTGGAGTTGGAACCGATCTGTTAAGTTGCATAGCTCTCTTCTTCTCCACCCTCAAAACCACCTCTCGCTTAATGCAGGTTCATTCCCCAGGGTGCCTTCAGCGCTCGTCGAATCTAGTTTTGAATGACACCAGTGATGTGGGTCGCCACTTCCTGTGAGGGAATTATCCCATCACCTGACCAAGCTCACCCTAAATTTTCCACTACTCCTAGTTACAGAACTTCATAAGATGTCAAATTCAGGAGTGGCAGAAGCACCCTAAAAGTGAGGGGGACACTGAACCATGGTCCTGCCCCCAGTGCCTCCCACTGCCCCTAAGGCCCCGCCTTCCCTCTTTTAAAAGTGCTAAGGCCCCTCCCCCACCCCATTCCGGCGCCCCGGATCAAATTCCCTTCTCAGTTTGATGCTACACCCTTGGTTATTTGCAGACAGTTATGGTCCCTTCTAGCCGTTGTTTAGCTGTGCCATATGTAGAATATTTAACCTTACTTTGTGAATCAACACTCTTGCCCATTTCTAATTCCTTTTGTTCTCTGGATCCCCTCTAGCTTGTTTGTATCTTTCTGGTTGCTCAGAATTGGGCATAGTATTCTGGGTTGTGCTCTCAAGCCGTAAAGAGGCTTCCTGCAATGTGATGGGGTACTTCTGCCCAAAAGCATCTCCAAATCATATGAAGCATATTGCCCTTTTTTGCTATCCTGTAACAAGCACCTCCAATTCATTGTCCAATATCGTCTTGTGTTTGTCTTGACTCCCCTGCTTTCCATATCTCTCCTTTGTTAAATCTCACTTTATTTTCAGCTCATATGTCTTCAGTCTAGGTCCTTGTATTTGTGTCCTTGTTGCTGCTTGTAACTTCTCCCCCACACTCTTCATCCCCAACTGTTTAGTTTCATGTTTGGTTAACATGCTGGTTGCTTCCTTTTTCCAGATCATCAGTGAAGATGCTAAATAATTACTCCTGGGGGAATTCTACATCACTGCACATGCGCAGAATTCATGTCCCCTGCAGATTTTTGTTTCCATATAGAAAAATGACTTCTGATGGGGAAGCAAAGGGAAGCTGCAAGAGTGGTCACACGCCCCTCCCTGGCAGCATAGGCAGGTCGATTTGAGCTCCTGGAGCAGCTGGTAGAGACGTAAATCTCTGCAGGGACGGCTTGGCAGTCATGCATGTGAGAGAGAGAGAGACTCTGTCCCTCTCACTTGCTATGGCAGCATGCTTGGCATGGAAGAGCAGGGCATTGGGGTGTTTCTGAGGAGGTAGGCGTGGGGCAGGCTCTGTCCCCTCAGGCAGAGCAGAATGTAGCAGCCTGCCTGCTTAGTGAATTGTTCCCATTGTCTTTGTGAATTCCCCAGGAGTATAAAACAGGTGTAAAAGTTTTAAGTCTCCTTTACATTGCCAGAGTGGTGTAAAGGACAGTGTGGCCTTAGAAATGCTTATGGTGCTTTAGTGATTAGAACTGAACTAAATTTTTGGACTGAAAAAAATTCCTATCAAAATGTGCTCCACGAACTGTTTGCTGCTGACCTATTTGGAGATGGTCAGTAGCCCATATAAATCATGAGTTGGAGTCCCCAGCCCAGCCTTGCTCTTCAGTTGCCTGTGATGTAACACTGAGCATATGGCTGCATATATTTGTTGTCTAATAACTAGAAATAAAAGGTCAAACCTAGCTACATTACTGGGTGGGGGAGCGGTGTTGGGGATTTTCTCCAATGCTCCCCACCCCCATTCTCCATCCATTGTATTGTAGTTTAAATAAATTACCAAAACAATTTAAACCAGCATGATTGTATTGCATTATTTTGACAAATAAAATACACACCAGGAGTATAAATAATATTGGTGTTAACCTGGTTCTGTGGTATGACCCGGTACTGCACTCAACTCCAGTTTATTACCTTGCTGTCCAGAATTCCTCATTTTCATGTGTTCAAATGGCTTCTGAAGTTTAATTCTTTTCTCTTAAAATTTAACGGGGAGCTTAACGCTTAGTTTAAAAGTTCAAAAAGGCTGCCTCCATACAAACGTATTGCCGAGAACAGGAGCAGGGGAGGTTAGGAACATGGGGTCAGACCACACTGTTCCAATCAGTTAGGTATCCCGTGTCCAGTGGTGGCCAATATCTAATGCTTCAGAGGCAGATCGATTATGTGTCTGCTCTTCCTCTCTACCCTTCCCCCACCCCAAAAACAAACAAAAAAACCAAAAACCCCACACCATACAGTGCACCTGCATGTATAAGGATGGCCATGGAGAACATGTTCCTAATTTTGCCAGTTGCTTTAATCCAGATTCTGAAAGTCTCTCAGACTTTAAAGTCAGAAGGGACCATCGTGATCAGCTAGTCTGACCTTCTGCACCTTGAAGGCCACAGAACCTCACCCTGGAGCCTGTACCAGACTTAGCTGGTTTAAGTTCCAACCTAGTTTAAAGCCTAGGTTCTATCTTTATGGGTCTGCAGAGATGTTACCCCTAAAACGTTGTGCTGCTTTTTCGCTCTAGCCACCCCGGGCACTTTCTCTGTGAAGAGAGAGAAGCCGGCTGTCTGACTAGTTAATTGGTTAGATGAGCAAGCTCGTGTCTCTCTGATTGCTGATTAGTAGAGATGATGTGGGAAGCCGGGGTTAGTCAAAAGCTGATGGTGGATCATGACCAGGCCAGCTGGACCCACTGGTAGAATCTCTGAGCATGTTCCACCACCACGACCCTCCTGAAGTCTGAAAGGAAAAGCGGCTTTTGGCAGCACAGTGGCAAGTCTCTGGTGATAGCTGCTGATGGTCCGTCTGCAGATACGTCTGCTGAGAGGAGATCGTGGCCAGTGATTTCTTGGGCCAGCCTGTCATTTGTTGGCTTTGCCAGGCAGACTGCACCCATGTGTTTGGTTTGCCTGGCGTGTTTAATGGAACTTTGGGGGCCATGATACGTAAATTCATAAATGAGCACTCCAGTGATTGGGACTTAGTGTTGCAGCAGTTGCTCTTTGCCTACAGGGCTGTACCACATCCCAGTTTAGGGTTTTCACCATTTGAACTTGTATATGGCCGCGAGGTTAAGGGGCCATTACAATTGGTAAAGCAGCAATGGGAGGGGTTTGTGCCTTCTCCAGGAACTAACATTCTGGATTTTGTAAACAACCTACAAAACCCCCTCCGAACCTCGTTAGCCCTTGCTAGAGAAAACCTAAACGATGCTCAGGAAGAGCAAAAAGCCTGGTATAATAAACATGCCAAAGAGCGTTCCTTCAAAGTAGGGGACCAGGTCAGACAACACACGTTTCCTTTGCAAAGTCTAGAGTGGGCATTTTAATGGGCTGCCTGAAGAGCAAAAAGAAATCGGGTGTCTGTCTAGGATTTAACTTGTATATAGAACTCGCGTAGGATTTAGCTCAGATATTTTTTTTTAAGTTACTTATATTTAGGGGTCTACCAAATTCTTCGCAGCTGTGAAAATTGCATTATGGACCATGAAATCTGGTCTCCGGCCACCCAGCTCTGAAGGCAGAGCAGAGAGCGGCGGGCGCTGCCCTGGCGCCAAGCTCTCAAGTCAGCCCGGCCAGCAGCCGCTGCTTTCCGCTGTGCCTTCAGAGCTAGGTGCCCAGGCAGCCGCCGCCCCGCTTCGGGCAGCGCAACCCCCAGCATCAGCACAGAAGTAAGGGTAGCAATACTGCGGCCCCCTAATAGGCTTGTGACCCCCTTTTGGATCTGGGCCCCTAGTTTGAGAAATGCTATAGGAGAAGTCGCACAATTTTCTTCAGGGATATGTAACACCTCTGCAACATTTTCTATTTATGCCGTGACCAACCCATGAAATTTGTGTGATTTCTCCACGATCTAAGTAGACCCCCTACTGTCTAATAAAACCTCTGTCTAATAAGAGTCCTCGAGAGGCTGTAATAATGTACAGAGCTACTAGCCTTCTGGACTAGACTGTCAAGTGAACAGTAAGCATGACGCTCTTGATATGGAAAGCTGTGAAACTTGTAGGCTCCATTCTCCCTGGAGATGGGATGGGCCAGGGGTCCGCTCAAGCCCTGACTCGGCAAAACATGAGGCTGTTTTTCTAGCTTAGCACAGCAAGGGCCCCCTTTGGATGGATCCTGGCAAACCTTGTCAGTGGGGTTGCTGATGAACGACAGAAGGCCCCCTCCCCCAGGGCTGAGGGCTCCGAGCCACAGTCAGAAATAACTCCCCAGTTTCTTACCGCATGATAGTGTAACGAGTGTCCTCAGGCGGGCCCGAACGCTGCCTTTTACCTTTCAAAGCCCTCCCCGCCAAGCTAGCGATGCGAGTGTATTTTGCAGCAGTGAGTGTAAGGAAATCTTAACTTGAGACTTGGCAAACATGAAGCTCATTAGGGCCGGGTTTCAGCTATCTTTGAGACAGGACCCTGCAGGAAATTGATGTGCCGTGGACGGGTGACCAGATTCCAGGCTGCTTTTCTCAACATGCGCTGTCACTGCAGTTGAAGTCAATTGACGTGCTTGGCTCAGTCCCTAGATCACGTGGGGGGCTTGTCTATTTAAGCAGGGCGGGGGGGGGGACGGTGTCTGAAGTCATCTCCTATCTCGTGCTTGCTTCACTTGTCCTGCCAGACTGACGTTCTGGGTATGGTACGTGGCTCGTGTTTCTTGCCATGCGCTTTTCTCGAGAGGCTGATTTTAGGCGTGGGGGTGTCATTTAGTGATATAGATGAGTCTCTTCATGTTGACACTGATGGGGGCGGGAATTGTGGTTTTAAATACAGTTCGTCCCTCAACGATCACATCATGGATGCTGCGTACCATGAAATGCTGATCCTCTCTGTTCACGGCTTCCAGAAACATGTTGTACACAGGAAGGCGTCAGTTTCATGCTTGTGGAAACTAACTGGTAACTTTGGGTCTCTAACCAATTCTCCATCCCTGCCCTTTCTCCCCTAGATGACCTGTGTGGAGAAAGCAGGTAACGATGAGAAGATGCTGATGAAAATTTTCCGCTGCCTGGGGAGCTGGTTCAACCTGGGAGTTCTGGATAGTAACTTCATGGCCAACAGCAAGTTACTGTCCCTCCTCTTCGAGGTGCTGGTGAGTATTCACTCAGGCCATTGAACAAGCTCCTCTCTGCCCGGGAAGAACGATGGTCACTTTTTACCAGGAGAGGAACAGCAAAACTTTGAAATCAGTTGGGAATCCCTGTGCAGATTTGTTGTAAACGTTGGCGCACTAGGATGACTGCTCATTGGTGGCCTGCATGCAGGTCATAAAGAGAAGTTTACTCCCCTTCCTGGGTCCTTTCCTCTGTCTTGAAAATGAGGCCCGACCCATCTCTTAGCCCACTGTGCTGCTCGCTGTGCACTAGCTCGTCCCCTGTGCCCCAAATAGCACTGCTTGGTGCCCCCCATATTTCCAGCCTGAAGGCTGTCAAGAACTGGCAACTTGGAGAAGTGGGTGTCAACAGGAGCACGGGAATCTCTTAAGAGCAAGAGTCCAGTTCTGGCCAAGCCTCCCAGTGGCCAGGAACTCCCCGTCTTCCCTTGCTCGTTGCCTTCTAGTGGCACTTGGAAAATCGGGTAGGTCCCAGATGACTAACACTTGGTAACATCAAATTTCCTCAGCTAAAGAAAAAAATACTTTTTAAGTGCTTCCTCTGCCCTCATGTCAGGTCCCGAGTTCAGGATTCCAGTTCTCTGGAACCAGCTGCTGCTATTGCTGACCTGAGATGTGCAGAGAACGTGGGGAAACGTTCTTGACCAGAATGCTGAATCCTGAACTCGGGACTGGACAGGGAAGTGGAGGAGGGGGTGATGCTTATGTTCTCTGTGAATTTCCAATCTAATCCTATTCTGTTCTGCGTCAGGGACCGTGAAGGCGAATGACGAAGGTTCTTTGTGAACAGACTGGGGTGAAGTTAGCCCCAAGCACAGCATGTTGAAGGGGAGGGTTGAAGATGTCATTTTTAGCCTTAACTGAGCAAAGGGCTGTGGCTCATGGAGTTGGGGAGGAAACCTCACTCCATTTCTCTAGAGTGAAATAGGCAGGGAAAAGAGCAACTCAAACAAAATCCTGGTTTTCTGAGCTGCAAAGGGATTATTGGGGGATTGGTAGGTGACGGCCCCTGGGCCCAAAACACAACAGACGTAGAATGCGAATGTAAGATCTGTTCTCCAGTTTGGCTGCATACCATAGGGGAGGGAGAAACCTGCACCTTCTTCAGGGTCATCATCCGTCTCAATCTCTAGCTATTCAGATAGTGAAAAGAACCATGAATTTCTTGTCATGCTGCATTTGAAAGTCCTTGATCTGAGCGGCATGAACATTTTCAAGGACACCTTCTCGCCCCCTGGACTCCATTATTCCCTACAGCTGCATTTCTGTCGTAAGCCCTACTGCCACAATCCTTCCTCTGTGTAGCTTGGGATTCAGCAGTTCTATCCCCAGATGGGTCACGAAATGGCTCACTGTACTGTTCCCAGTTATAGTACATTGGGACAGGACAGGACTGGAATGGGAGTGGGGTGGCATTGGACTGCAGAAACCTTGTTGGTCATGCCGGATCCTGTAATCTTGGCAAACCCAGTGGTTCTACTTTCTGGCAGACAATACTTCTGAAAAGAAGTTCACAAAGTTCTAGTAGATCTGGTCTCCTATTCGCACAGTCTGGCCCATTCATCATCAGTTTTCTCAACTTCTGTTAAGAGGCTACTTTGTCTAGTTCATTGGTGCGTCAACTTTTCCTGTCATGCCCCACCCCCCTTTCCAGTAATGGAATCTGTCTGTGCTTCCCCCTCCATTACTGTACCGTTGGCTCAGCACAGGAGCTTGGGCTGACAGTGGAGCTGTGGGAGGAGCTGGGGCTAGAGGCAGAGTTGGGCTGGGGGCAAGGTGACCAGAGGGAAAGTGTGTGAAAAAAGAGCCTATGTAAGAGAGAGCCTCCAAAATCGGGACTGCCCCTATAAAATCGGGACATCTGGTCACCCTAGCTGGGGGTGGAGCGGAGCTGGGGTGAGTGGCAGGGGGCCGGGCAGGGAGTGTGGGGGCTGGCCTGGACCTCACCACCGAACGCCCCTCCCCCCCAAATGTTCCTCTGTGCCCCTCTAGGGGGGTGCACCCACAGTTTGGGGACCACTGGTCGAGTTGTTAGAGCACGAGGCTGGGAGCCAGGGCTCCTGGATTCCATTCCAGCTTCTGTCACTGATGTTCTTTGTGACCTGAAGTAAGTTTGACTTCAACTTCTGTCTGTTTTCCCCATCTGCGAAATGAACATTGCTAGCAGTTGCTGTTACTGAACACTTCAATTAAGGCTGAGTTCAAGGTTTTATACTAATCTCATTTCTAGGTGCTCATAACTTTCTCCATCATATACAAGGTGGGTGAGATAATATCTTTTGTTGGATCAACTTCAGTTGGTGAGAGAGAGAGAAGCTTTCGAGCCACACAGAGCTCTTCTCCAGGTGTGGGAAAGGTACTCCCAGTGTCTCAGCTAAATGCAAGGTGGAGCACATTGTTTAGCATAAGTAGTTATGCTGGTCCCTTAGAATATGCTAAACAATCTGTTCCACCTTGCATTTTAGCTGTGACGTTCAGAGTACCTTTCCCAGACCTGAAGAATCGATGGCTTGAAAGCTTGTCTCTCTCTCACCAACAGAAGTTGGTCCAATAAAAGAGATTACCTCCCCCACCTGACACCTTTAATATCCTGGTATTGACATGGCTACAACACTGCATCCATCATATACAGGTCTTCCAGGCTGAAATTTACCATGCTTAAAGGTGAATTGTTTCGTAAGGCTTTGAGCAAGGTGCCTTTAACACTTGTTTGCATTATGCAAGTGTTGGAATAAAGTTCTCTCCAGCCGCACGGGATTTAAAATATTCGAACGTTGTTAACTTTCCAAGCTAGAAGCATAAAACTTGGCTTGGTTTGTAATCCTCATCAAAGAAACAAAATTGGCTGTAGATTTTCCAGGTTCTGAACATGTAAGTTAATATTTTGCTCATGTACAGTACAGCGTTTTTATCTCTCCTTTTTCTGACACCTTTAACTTAGAACAGCTAACTCAGGAAAGTCTTTCTCCATATGTGTGGAAACCCCAAAGTGCTCCAGTAAAACAGGAAAATTAAATGCAAAAACTCGCATTAATACAACATGAAGGCTGAAGAGCTGAGCTAAGCACACGCAAGTGGTACAGGTTTCTCCTGCATTGTTTGCTCAGACCCAGAGGTGAAAGTATAAGCCGGTCCGGTATGGTGTACCGGCAAGAGCCAGTACGCCGTGCCGGACTGGACCGGCTTCCGCGGTGGTGATTTAAAGGGCCCAGGGCTCCAGCCGCTGCAGGGAGCCCTGGGCCCTTTAAAGCGCCGCCGGAGCTCCAGCAGCCGGGCTCCCGCAGTGATTTAAAGGACCTGGAGCTCCGTGGCAGACGGAACCCCGGGCCCTTTAATTCGTCCCTGAGCCCCGGGGCTCCCAGCCGCCTCTACAGCTGGTAACTCAGGGTGATTTAAAGGCCACACCTCTTCTGGAAGAGGCCATGCCTCTTCCGGTTGAGACCACACCCCTGCTCAGGACTCCGGCATACAGGTAAGTCCTTTAGGTTACTTTCACCCCTGCTCAGACCTGTTGCATGGATGAGGTATTGTCTCATGTTTTATTATTGTGCCATTATTAAATGGGTAACTTGCTTTGCATTTGTTGCACGATACAGTCGAAGCAAACAAAAATGCAAATCAAGGTTCCCATTTAACACTGGAAAGAGGAATAGACAGCACTTAATGCAGGAAACAAGTCTGAGTTAATGTTGCAGTAGAAACTGTTCTCCTCTGGGGTTTTCTGACTTCTGAGAGCTCAGCTTTTCAGCCTGCATGTGACATTCATGCTAGTTTTTGCAGTTAATTCCTCCCTCCCCTTCCTTGTTCACCAGGGATTGTGCTGCTTAATTATTTAACGTTTGCAAAATGCTTAAGGATCCCCTTATGAAAAGGCATCTATAGGTGTGCACCAGATTACTGCTATTCCTTTGTTTCCTCTCCTCTTCGCTGTCTCCTCTCTCCTTCTTTGTACACCAGCCCTGTCTCCTTTCCTAATTGCTCTGTGCCCTATGGGAGCTATTAAAGCTTCTGTGAAATGAGCCTTGCACAATGGCCATGAATGTTTACCGGGCCGGGGCACCCTAAGGATAATAAAAGCAGTATTTTATTCGCACTTCAGAGGGGTGTGTCCCCGTTCTCCCCCACCCAAGGAGAAAGGGGCTAGTACAATTTTTCCATGGTGCTGAAATATCTCCGACCTGAGATTTCAGTCATTCTGTTCCACCTCTTTGTGCCGTGTAGGGAAGCCAGAAGGGTTCAATGGAGGCAAAGGTCCTTTGCCCTCTGGGTATAGCAGCAGGCTATGCAGGGCTGGCAAAGGAGGTGGTGTGGGGAGAGCTGTGTACTAAGAAACGTGCCTTGGTATTTGGGACCAAACAAAAGCTTCGTTAGGTGCAGCCTCATTTATCGCTCCTTAGTCACCTGGCTCCTTTCCTCCCCTCCTGTCCCGCAGCGACAAGACAAGACGTCCTCAAACCTGCACGAGGCCGCCTCTGACTGCGTGTGCTCGGCGCTCTACGCCATTGAAAACGTGGAGACCAACCTGCCCCTCGCGCTGCAGCTCTTTCAGGGAGTCCTGACGCTGGAGGCCGCCTATCACATGGCTGTGGCCCGGGAGGATTTAGACAAGTAAGCAAATGAGCCTCGCCGATAATTAACTGTCAACGTGTCTGTTGAGCGCTATTCTTGGCCTCGGCCGTGTTTGTGCAGCGCTCTGGAGTGTCGTGTGCAAATGATGGCTTACGGAACAGAGACAGCTGAGTTAATGACGCTTCCCTTTGCCGGCAGTCCGCCAGCCTGGAATTGCCGGGGGCGAGCAGCCCGAGCTTGGGCAGGCAGGAGGGAGCGTTGCATGCGCGCTGGTGCTTTCCCAGCTCTTCTTTGCTCTTATCAAAGGGCAGCAGAAGACGTGCCGCTGTGCGGCTCTCGTTGAGGGATGAGAGAGAGTGGAACGGCTGAGCCTTGGAGCACTACAGCCTGGCACTTGTCATGCCTTCCATCTCCGGAGTTCTGTACCGACGTCAAGGAGCCCCTCTTGTTGGTTTTATTATGTTAGCATCTAGCTGCTCCAGCCAAGATCGAGGCTTCGCTCGGCTTGTACAGTGCCTAGCACAATAAGAGGGTTTACAGTGCAGATGGACAAGACAGAATAAAGGGTAAAAGGAGAAACAAAGCCAAGAGAAGGGAAGTGAGTTGGCAGATCTCTTGTGGCAGTGCCCCCCGCCTCCTCTCTCCCCCCCCCCCTCGCGCAGCCAGTGTTCCTTGCTACCTCCCTCTGAAGTCAGCACTATCAGAGGGGGAAATGGAGGTGAAGAGGGTAGTGGCTTTCCATGGATCACATCCCAAATCACTCCTAGAACTAGCATTATAACTCCAGAGCGAAACTCCCAGTCCTGTGCTCAGCCCACTAGGCCATGCTGTCGGTTACACAATGCTGTGCTGTTGGCCCTCGGGACCTGAGAGAGGGCAAGCAGGGAGACTTCACATTCTGCAATCAGCCCTCACTGTCTCTATGGTCTTGGTTTTGATCTTCCTCCTTCAAACAGAATAGCAAAGCTGGTTAGTTTGAGGACAGGTTTTTGCTTTTCAGCTCAGCCCCTCAAATTGTTTTCTAAAGATATTTTAAGGACAGCAATCCTGTCTTCTAATACAAATTGCCTCGCTGTCTGAAACATGCTGCTGTAAAATTCAAGGCTGATAAAGCTGGTTCACGTACTTGTGTATCATATGATGTCGCACAGTCCCTCCATTCTGGTACTGTATGTCCTGTTCTTGTGCTGAATGCATTTGAGGCTGATTTTGGTCGACTTCTTGGAGTCTGTTTGCAGCTATGGAGATGGTTTTCATAAACTTTCTCCTGAACCACAGTCTTGTAGTTGTCCTGGGTACGTATTAAATTTTCACTCTGAGGAACCTTATTTAGACCAGCAGTGGTCTTCACTTTCATCAGAACATTCTGGAATCCATAAAGGGAGAGGCAATTCTTGATGTAGTCCTAAGTGGAGCACAGGATCTGGTCCAAGAGGTGAATAGAGCTGGACCACTTGGTAATAGCGACCATAGTGTAATTAAATTTAACATCTGTGTAGAGGGGAAAATACTAAAACCCACCGCAGTACCATTTGACTGCAAAAAAGGGTTAACTACACAAAAATGAGTAGGCTAATTAAAAGGAGCAGACACAAGTGAAATGCCTGCAAGCTGCAGGGAAACTATTTAAAAACAGCATTATAGAGGCTCAAACTAAATGCATTCTCTCTTCCTCCCCCCCCCCCTGAACAGTAAAAGGACCAAAAAATGCCACCATGGCTAAACAGCCGAGTAAAAGTGGCAGTTAGGGGCAAAAAGGCAGCTTTAAAAATTGGAATCATAGAATCATAGAATATCAGGGTTGGAAGGGACCTCAGGAGGTATCTAGTCCAACCCCCTGCTCAAAACAGAACCAATCCCCAACTAAATCAAGCCACGTCCTACTGAGGAAAATGGAAAGGAGCATAAACTCTGGCAAGTCAAGTGTAAAAGTGTCATAAGAATTGCAGAGCAACTAGCTAAAGACACAAACTAACAGCCGTTTTTTTTAAGTACATCAGAAGTGGGAAGCCTGCCAAACGCAGCGGGGCCACTGGATGATCAAGGTGCTAAAGGAGCACTCCTGGAACACAAGGCGGTGGCAGCGAAGCTAAATGAATTCTTTGCATTGGTCTTTTCTGCAGTGGATGTGAGGGAAATTCCCACACCTGAGCCATCCTAGGTGACAGATCTGAGGAACTGCCCTCGATTGAGGTGTTTTTGGAATAAATTGATAAATTAAACAATAATAAGTCACCAGGACCAGATGGTATCACCCAAGAGTTCTGAAGGAACTCAAATAGGAAATTGCAGAACTACTAACTGTGATATGTAACTTATCACTTAAATCAGACTCTGAACCAAATGATTGGAGGATAGCTAATGTAAACCCGATTTTTTATTTATTTAATTTTTAAAAAGCTCCAGCGGTGATCCCGGCAATTACAGGCCGGTAAGCCTAACTTCAGTACAGGGGAAATTGGTTGAAACTAGAGTCAAGGATTAAATTATCAGACAACTAGATGAATACAATATGTTGGGGAAGAGTCAACACGGCTTTTGTAAAGGGAAGTCATGCCTCACCAGTCTAGTATTGAGGGCTTCAACAAGCATGTGGACAAGGGGATCCAATGGATATAGAGTACTTAGACTGTCAGAAAGCCTTCGATGTTTCACATGCCAAAGGCTCTTAAGCAAAGTAAGCAGTCATGGGATAAAAGAAGTGTCCTCTCCTAGATCAGTAACTGGTTAAAAGATAGGAAACAAAGGGGAGGAATAAATGGTCAGTTTTCACAATGGAGAGAGGTAAATAGTGGGGTCCCCCAGGGGTCTGTACCGGGACCTGTGCTATTTCACAAATTCATAAACTCTCTGGAAAAGGGAGTGAACAGTGAAGTGGCAAAGTTTGCAAAGGGATCTCACTAAACTGGGTGACTGGGTAACAAAATAGCAGATAAAATTCAGTGTTGATAAGTATAAAGTAATTCACATTGGAAAACATAATCCCAGCTATGGATACAAAATGAGGGTCTATATTAGGTTACCACTCAAGAAAGGGGTATTGGAATCATTGTGGATAGTTTTCTGAAAGCATCCGCTCAATGTGCAGGAGCAGGAAAAAAAAACTACCAATGTTAGGAACCATGAGAAAGGGATAAATAATAACACAGAAAATATCATGTTGCCTCTATATAAATCCATGGTACGTCCGCATCTTGAATGCTGTGTGCAGGTCTAGTCGCCCCATCTCAAAAAAGATACATTAGAATTGGAAAAGGTACAGCGAAGGTCAACACAAATAATTAGGGGTCTGGAACAGCTTCTGTATGAGGAAAGATTAAAAAGATTGAGATTGTTCAGCTTAAAAAAGAGATGACTAAGGCGGGAATGTGATAGAAGTCTGTACAGTCATGACTGGTGTGGAGAAAGTGAACAGGGAATTGTCATTTGTCCCTTCCCATAACACAAGACCCAGGGGTCACTTGATGAAATTAATAGGCGGTAGATTTAAAACAAACATAAGGAAGTACTTCTTCACACAAAGCTCAGTCAACCTGTGGAACTCGTTACAGTGGGATGTTGCGAAGTCTGGAAGCATAACTGGGTTCAAAAAAATTCGTTAAGTTCCTGGAGGATAAGTCCATCAGTGGTTATTAGTCAAGATGGTCAACAATGCAACCCCATAGTCTGGGTATCCCTAAACCTCTGACTGCCTGAAGCTGGAACTGGACAACAGGGGCTGGATCACTCGAGATTGCCTTGTTCTGTTCATTCCCTCTGAACATCTGGCTCTGGCCACTGTTGGAAGACAGGATACTGGGCTCAGTGGACCGTTGGACTTGACCCAGGAGGGCCGTTCTAAGGCTTGGTCTACACTAAACCCCCAAATCGAACTAAGGTACGCAACTTCAGCTACGTGAATAACGTAGCTGAAGTTCGAAGTACCTTAGTTCGAACTTACCTCGGTCCACACGCATCGGGCAGGCTCCCCCGTCGACTCCGCGTACTCCTCTCGTCTAGCTGGAGTACCGCAGTCGACGGCGAGCACTTCCTGGTTCGACTTATCGCGGCCAGACAAGATGCGATAAGTCGAACCCAGAACTTCGATTGCCAGCCGCTGAATTAGCGGCTGGGTGTAGACATACCCTTAGTTCAGATTTTGTTAAGCACATAACTCCCACAAATCTCATGCTCTTCAGCACATTGTAACCCCATTTCCCTGAATTTGGGGGGTGAATTAGAAACCGGTGAAGCTGAAATGGAAGGATTCAGTGTACTCCCGCCTCTGAGATGACTGCTTAATTCAGTGATTCTCAAACGTTTGTACTGGTGACCCCTTTCACATAGCAAGCCTCTGAGTGCGACCCCCCCTTCTAAATTAAAAACAGATTTTTATATGTTTAACACCATTCTAAATGCTGGAAGTGAAGCGGGGTTTGGGGTGGAGGCTGACAGTTCGCGACCCCCCATATAATAACCTCGCGACCTCCAGTTTGAGAACCCCTGGCTTAATTCATGTTAGCTTCAGGAGGCTAATGCTGTACATAAGTAGGAGACACTTTCTCCCTGTATGTGCGATATCACTGGGTATTTGCATGCGAAACATGACTTGCTTCACTTCCTTCCACAGGGTTCTCAATTACTGCCGCGTCTTCACTGAACTCTGCGAGACGTTTCTGGATAAAATTGTTTGTACGCCAGGCCATGGGCTGGGGGACCTGCGCACGCTGGAGTTGTTGCTGATCTGTGCAGGCCATCCACAGTATGAGGTAGGACTCAGTGGGTTACTCACTCTTCTTTCTCAGTCAGATCTGCAGAAAGCTTTTCTTTATAGCCTAGCAAGCGTGGGCAGGTTTCAGATCCCATTCCCTAGTGGCCTTGAAAGCCTTGCTCCGAATTTGTGGTGCAAAAGGTATTGTTTAACTCGTCCGTGATGGGATAGACAGCCCCGAGGCAGCCTCTCCCGATGGAAGAGGTACGGGAAAGTCCCTCGTCGGTTTGCTTGAAAGCATTTTAAACCTCTCATGTGCTAGGAGCTGTATCTTGCTTCCTGCATCTCCTCTGTGCAACAGTCAGTCAGGGTCAGCCTTAGGGAAAATGGATTCCTAAGTGAACTTGTATTTTGGTGCCCCCTCTGCCTCCCCTGGCCCCTGCTGCCTCCCTGGGCTCCCCACTTCCTTTGCCCCCAGTTCTGCTGCCTGCTCCCTGACCCATTGCTCCAAGCTCCCTTCTGTGGCCTCACACCCCAGGCCTGCCTCACTCACCACGGCACCCTGGGCAGTTGCTCACCCATAAGACTAGCCCTTGTAACAGTCATGGGTTGGGTTTTTGTTTTTTTCCCCAATGTTCCACATAGCTAAATTTTCTCTGAGGCTTACGAGGTAGCGGCGATTTCTTGCATTTCCACCCAAATCAGATGAGCGATCTCCTCTCCCCTCACTTCCCCCCGGCACATTTCTGCACACCACCTGACACTCAGAATAGCAAAATATCACACGTAAGATGTGGGTTTTCCCCTTCATTTCCCCCGATCTCCCACTCTTGGGATATCCCCTGGGACAGTTTGATTAGCTAAAATCTTGCTGACCACTCCCTAGTTGTTTGCTGTGCCTCTTCTATTCAGATCTGTGTTCAGGAAATGTGCTCCCATCCAGAGGCACCGATTTACAGATTGGTGCTCGTTACATGTTGCACTAATACATGGTCACCAGCCAGCCCTGGTTTCAGAACTACCTAGACGCACGTCACTTTATTTGGCATGTAGAACGTTAGTGATGGAAGAGTCAAGCCTTTAAAATTAGTCACTTCACGTAGAAAAGTTGAAACTGGGCTGACTGGGTTTTAAGTAGGCTAGGGTGCCGTTAACCTCTAGAGATGCGGGTTTTGAAACGCACAGTAGTCCCTTCGGCCGTATCTGCACACAGATTGGGTACCAGGATAACTGTCAGTTGGAGGGTGCCTTTTTTTTTTGGCTGATAATTATACTGACGCTGCCCCTAGTATGGACACGGTTATACCGACATAAAGCATGCCTCTACTTGTACAACTGTGTCCACACTCAGGGTGCAGCGCTTTCACTAGATGCAGCTCCTGTGTGTGGACCAGGCCTTGGGATGCGAGTCACATTCTCTTTCCACGGTTATTGGTGTGAATCATGCCTGAGCCAGGAGGGGATGGAAGTTACTGTTTGACAGATGTTTGACCTACATGAAATGAGCTGATGACTTCAACTGAGCTCCTAGTGAACTCTATCCAGTGCTGCAGGACACACTAGCAGTATCTACAGAGGTCTGAAGCCAGGAGGCTGAATTACTCTTTTCCTCGGGGATGGCTCCCTAGGCCAGAGTACACCCAGCGTGGGGACATCTTCACTGTTATCTGCAGGGTCACTCGTCCAAACCCTGCCCCGGCACTGACTGGTTTGATTTTTAAATCAACTGCTTAAACAACAAGCAAAAAACGCAGGTTTGTGAAGCCGAAGGAGCTGCTCATGGCTTTGTTGAGGCTGCAGGTGTCAGCGTGGAGCTTCTCTGCTGCGATCTAGGCAGCCTTCTGACCGACTTTCCGCACTAGGAGGATGGGGGCAAAATCCTGTCTGTGAAAATGACGAATGGCTGTTTTTCCTCTCCCAACAGGTGGTAGAAATTTCCTTTAACTTCTGGTACAGACTGGGGGAGCATCTGTACAAAACGGACGATGCAGTCATACACAGCATCTTCAAAGCCTACATCCAGAGGCTCCTGCATGCTCTGGCCAGACACTGTCAGCTTGACCCAGACCACGTAAGGCTGCATTCAGCTCTCTTCTGTTTCCTCCCCTGTTCCAGTAGGCTGCCATGGGTATGGGGGGGCTGGTGATATGCAGTTCACCTTCCCCACGCGCTGATTGTCACTAAGGAGCCAGGCAGGTAACTAACGGCTCTGCGGTTAGGGATGGAGATGAGGG